ATGAACACGGAAACTCTGTTAGCATTAGATCGAAAACTATGCAGACTTAATATGTATAATAACCTCATTGGTTAGCGCTAAATATGTAGTTAGAATGCTTTGTAGCAAAGCATCATGTATGTGACATGACTTTTGTCACTTGAAGAGAAGCTATGTGAAAACGCGAATGGGTCCATAAAACAGGTTCGAAATTGCCAAACAGATTGCATTTGTGTACGTGGCCATCACAATATCAACCAGTTGTGACGGAATAAAAGCACTTCGAGCAGTACAGCTCAACAATTGTGCTGTTTTACAGCATTATCATGAGTTTAAAATAGGCCCAATTAGAGTCAGAATTCATTTGCCTTTTCATGGAAAGGAAAATACATGTGAAGAATGTGCAGGACTATACACAAATGACTATGGTTGCTACGAACAGCTAGGATTTTGGGTCTTATGCGATGCATCACAAACACCTGTGTAGTCGATGTGTTCCTCATTATTCCTGTGAATTCACTTGAATCCATATTGTATCGGTTCATCGTTCCTATTGCTTCCATACAGAAGGAATTCAGCGCCCTCGGACAAAATTATCTGTACTTAATAACCAAAACAACGCACATCCACGCAGTAAAACATACCACACATCATTCTTCTTGTTATTGGTATTGTAAGTAGAAACGATTTCAACTACTGATGGATATCTAAAATATTATTCTATTTACTTGTAGCGGTAAATACACACTTAAAATACATAGATCCGTGTGTCTTCGACACTGATACAAACCTCATTAGTCGCATTGGACATATCTTTTAGCTGGAGTCGCTCGATCACACATCCTCGCCAGATCACCATCGGGTTCGGCTAGATACCCACTCCTCACAACAATTAGCCAACATAGATCGATCACTTCTCGGCATATTGAATACCTCCTAGTTATCATTTTCTAAGTCGTTCATTTCTAACGGCATATTGAATAAAAACGTTGCCAAACCATGAATATCTGTGACATCAAAGGAAGATTTGCAAATGCTGTTTTCTGGCAATTCGACGACAAGGAGTACCATCAAATCTGCCGACAAGTCAAGTGAGAACCTCTCGGGATCAGGAGTGTTAAATCAAATCTTATATTTATACGTCGGCTTATAAACGGCATCCACTCCTTTGTACTTTATCATATCGTCCCACAACCGAAGAAGTGAACAGAATGGGTGAATTTATCCGCAACGCAACCATGTAAACTTAATGTACCGACCAGTGTAATAACGGTCATCTGTGCGTTCAAGTAACCACAGGTTTTGTCATTTCATAATGTATTTTTAATTAAATAACTAATTTTGCTCTTTTTTTAATTTTTGTCGCCACTTCCGTTTGCGTTACACTGCACGTCCATTGCACGCTGGGATGATATATCAAGTCATAGTGAGTTTATTAACATAGTTGATTGTTTCCAGATAGACTGTCAGTGCATGATTTTATTGAAGAAAGGTTTGTTGTACTGTAAACTATGTTTTTACGAACAACTGCCTGTTGTCTTCACTCGGAAACAATATATATATCCTTTGTCTTCTGTTAGGTAAGTTCGACTGGCCTATATTTCGTGTTTTGGTTTTATCGTCTTAATTCTGTCCATTTAACTACTTTAAGCAACATGTCTGTGCAAATGAAACAATAACTATGACACTTGCTTAGTTTAGTATTCTTGGTTGTCGTATAATTCAGTTTAGTTGAAAGAATTGGGGTATACTTGAGTGTAGTGCTTGGAGCCTGTAACGAAACAGATCACTCTAGTAAGTAGAGTTGCCTGTTTCTGATGAGTATACTGATTCAAATCAGTCTGATTAAAAATAGGAAAAAACGTATCTATGATGCTGTTGCTGTCATACATTATAAGATAGCTTTAAGTACGTTTGGTGTTTATTTGTAAACAGTACGTATAACACTGTTCATTACTCAAGACCACTGTCATTAAACGGTTTCCCCAGCAATAACATCGGTAGCAGGATAGCTAAGTGTGTGAGCTTTTATTTGCCTGCAGAAGAGTAGTATACAGTCTTAGAAGATGAGTGTAGTGGCATTGGACAATAGCCACACAATCCACAAAGCTGTGAACACGAGTTTACTCAGAAAATAGATATTCAATATTTAACTCGGGGAAATACCTAACAATGGAGAAGGCGCGGAGAATGAATTGAATGGACTGGGGTTGATAGAGTGGCATGGCTCGGCCATGCAGGCATGGTCTCTGCTGAATGTTACCTTATATCTTCTATTCATATTAAACATATTGTTCTTTCTCTAGCCTAACATTGTTCTACATCATGTATTGGTAATTGATACGATACAGTGAGTTGGTGTAGTCGATGGTGTGACTTCCACGTAAGATCTTATAGATTAGACAGTTATATCATGACAAATCTACAAATTTAGGATTAGGTCTATTATTAGAGCAGTACTAATATCATAGTAGACCATAATTCTACAATGAGTGTTCTGTGTCTCAATTAAATGCAACTGGCTGTGGACAAATGTTAAGAATCTTTTTGACAACTGGGACTTTTAGTTCATCAGACGCTAACTCTGCTTGTATGTCTCCCTGTTAAACTAGACGCAGATGCACGGTAATGCTTAAATGAGAGCAAAATAATAAAAGCATTGAGATATTGTACTAATTCCATGTTATTCTTTGCACAAGTAGCAGCTGACCTGATCTAATATTCATGAACTCAAGGTAAATCACAACTGCATAAATTCTTTGCTAAAAAACATGTAATTTGGTTATTTATCTATTCCACTTTTCTGACTGAATTCATTAATATTTTCTCATTTAGAATACAACAGGAGTGAGCCTTCACAGATCCTAAGAACTGTTTTGCCCTTAGAACTATGGCCCTATGAAACTGTTTACAGGAGACCCAACTAACAGCAAATTATAAAAAAGAATGCTGGATGTCCATTTTAGTCTCACAACCACTTCCAGTACTTTTTGAGTTACTTCTTTTACCCTTTCGTTTGGAAAAAACAACAAAAGCTTGAGCTTAACATTACCAATGAAACTTTTAAACGAGAACATGGTTTAAACCTTTGTTTGATATTCGATTCTTAACGAAAGTCCCCGAATACATTTTTGAATCTAATGCTACTTTGTTTTATCTACTTAACCCAAGCAACACAAAAAGGGGAAATAAAGCTGGCGAAGGCGTAAATAAACGGGAAATGTCGCTTTTTCCCCCTTACGTCGTGTATTTGGGGGAAATTTGTCGACATTTATACGTAACGTACAGTATTTGAGTGAGCCGCATCCAGAACTGAAGTTTTCATAAACTTCGACAAATTAAGGCACCGCTTAATAAAAAAAACAAAACTAATGTCATAAAAACAAGGTACAAATTACGGAACCAGGCATTCGTTTGAGACGCATATACACTGACTTCGCTTTTTGGTTTATCTAAAGTGTTCCGACATGCTTGGAAGCCATCACAAAAAAACTTAAGTGATGCAGGTGAGTGACGTGCTCTCAGAATTTCATGTTCATTTTGACTAATTACCTTGTTAGGCAAATAATATGAGTTTTGTTGAAGTCAGTGAGAATGTTCGTAGACGTAGGGCCACTGTGAACTTGTCACGTTCCCTTGGTTGTCATAGAACCACTTATAACAGGAGGTGGAATAAAATGCGAGCAGCTTTCATGAAAAATATGACTTCCTTTCGTTCAGTGAGTTTTCTAATGAAAACACCATAAAAGGTAACTGAGTTCAACAGTGTTGTTCATTAAATTGATAGGATTAAAGAGAGAAATCAGTTGTAATGACAGTACTTCAACTGTTACACCATCTACCAGCAACATCAATCAAAGGCTTTCAGATAATAGTGGTATGCACATTAAATTCACACGTAAAAAACAGATTTGCGAGTGGTGAAATATGACCTATAAAACAGTTGGCTTAATAACAGTTAATTACCATTTTGCTCCATGATCATGACCCTTCGGCTTCCTTTTATGGCCAAAACAGCAAACATACACTACACACTAATAGCAGATTTCCGGCCTTTCAATGTTAAGCTTGCTTTAACGCAACACGTAACGAGTACAACCCCTCTATTACTGCTACATGACATATTTTTCATAACAAACCCTCTGCAATAGATTGGTAGTATCCATGACTTCGTCTATGGTTGTCGGAAGTCTGGGTCCTTTCGAAAACAATACTGATATCCCCTACTATTGGGCAATCAATATTAGTTTCACTCGTTGGTGGGATAGTGTTGTCCATAATACTGAAGATAATTACAAACCAGAGATTATTTCCTTTCATTTTGCCGATAACATCATAAAGGACAGTTAGGAACGAACATGCGGACAGTTAGTCACAGGCGGCAGCAACAATTGTTTCAGCTAAAAAAACGAACTTAGGCTTTGGATATCTAGAAAACAAGTCAATAAAAAACCGATGACCATTTTAAAACATAAGAATAGCCAGCTTGGCTGAAGAAATACAGTGACTTGAGTAGAAGCAGCAAAAACCCAAAAAGCAATGCTAATTCGAAGTAAATTTCACACCAGCATATAGAACATTACACTAACTGCGGCATTTCAGCACTCTGAAACATTAAATTACATAGCTACACAGAAGAAATAGCTGAAAGAAGCACAGAACGAAGAAAGCCGATCGCCATTGCTTACAAAGATGGCGGATATAATAATTCACGCCTCATACTGATTGGTTGCTAAGCTGAAGGGCACATTTACGAAATTGAGTTGCGTTTAATTGCAGCCAAGCAACTAATTTACAAGAAAACAGTCACAAAGCAAGGAGCGAATCAAAGTGTATTCTAGAAGAAAGAGAAAGCTTAGCTTACGTTCTTTGCAAAGACTTTGTGAATTCCACGCAGAAGTGGACCACATAAGTTCGAGAACACCTGAAAATCAAACAGCATCACAGACATTCAATCAGCCTGGGCTGGTTGCAATAAATTACTCGGTTCAAGGTCATTGGGGTGAAACAGCGGGCGATTTGGAGAGTGTTTTGCCATTTTATCGTGGCTCACCGGACATTGTGCATCACTTATAATGTTAGCATCTAGGTTCAAAAAGTTGTGCACCTGTTTTACTTCGTATCAAGATATTCCAGCAATTCTCCTACTAATGCTATTATATGTTTTTCAGGTTGGTAAAAACATCGGTTATACACGATCGATTTTATTCAATATCTATACTTAGATATTATTCTTTTTTTATCCAGTTATGTAAATTTTCATGTTGGGGCCTAAAATATGTACATATAAGCTATTTTGGTTACACAAATCGACCGAATTTTGTCAGCGTACACATTTGCTGACCATGGTCAAAATCTGTCTGTACTTTTATTTAGCTGTAAGGACCAAGGGGCTGAAATGCCTGTTTTCATCGTAAACAAGAGTGTCATTACTTAGGAGGGCAAGGTATTTGGTCTTAAGTAACTGTGTAGAGACGTTTGTTGTCACTCTCTGATTGAATGATCGTGGTTAATATATTGCCTTTCCGAGCCACGAAAATTCGAGTTAAAGGTAACTACAAGATACCCTGACAGTTGTGATTGGGCAATCTTAATTCCATTATTTAAGTGAGATATACATATTTCTATGAATACTTCGGCACATGAAGCCTCATACGATGTCTAAAACCATTAAAAATTGCCATTGACACTATTTTCTGAGTATTTTTTTAACGTATTTAATATTCCATTCGTCGCTTGTCCTAATGGTAGTCATTGTAGTATGTCTGGATTCACGGGCTTGTCTTCAAATTTTTCTTCCGTACTTTCCCTTAGACTTTATATATGTAAGTGAATACGCATAACCTCCTCCTTGTCCTAAAGAAATGCCCTTCGTTGTTGTAGATAGTCTTTTTGAAATTGTAATGTTGGCACATTTGGTGCCAATGTTCCAATACTACTCACACATTGCTAACATATATTCCTATTTGAGATATCAATGAGACTCAGCTTTCTGAACACTGTCTTATTGCGACAACTGATTTGGTGATTTGATTATATCAAAGTGCTTTATGGAAAATCATTGGTTTTGGTGTGTTTTATAAATATTAGTTCGTTAGCTTAGTAAAAACCGTGAATATTCAACAGCCTTGATAAAAAACTTGTAAAAGCAGAGTTAAATACTTTAAGAGAACACAGCCTTTTAAAGTTAATAACAGTTAGTGAATAATGCCTATGGTAAAGTTCGTAAAACCAAGTGTTATGATACGATATTTGCTACAAACATCGTATTTTAGGGAGAAATTGTTGGTTTTACTTTTCGCTGTACTATTTTCGACAAATCCAAATTATTTATTAATTTTTAATAGGGCATTTCTATCGGCATTTCTGCTTCGATTCCATTTCTTCTTCAATCAAATTACCATACCGGTGGCTATAATTTACAAGCAACATTTTCAATATCAGCTTGGCCTTTTGCTATGAAACTTCTCTGGGCTCCAATAGTTGATTCAATTTACGTCAATTTTATTGGAAGACGGAAGACGTGGCTCATAATAACTCAGTATACAATTGGAATTGAGTTAATTGTGCTAGCAAGTCGTATCGATGATTGGTTTGGACGAGACCCCAACAAAGCGTGGAGTCAGTTGGGATCACATCATCCAGTTGCTATAATACCCTTAACTATAACATTTTTCGTACTTACATTTCTGACAGCTACACAAGATGTTGCGGTTGATGGCTGGGCCTTGACATTGCTATCGAAGTAAGTTGTTTTATATATATGCGCCACACAGTTCACAGTTATATAATATACCCTTGTGGGCCAGGGTAATTTTACATTGGTTTTCAGGAGACCCAGACACCATCCTGACTTTCACGTAAAAACCCAAACAGTGCAGCTCAACCCCGTTTAGCCGAGGAACCAGACACCGTACAGGCCTTAACGCTACAATCTGAATAGTGGCGCAACCACACAGGTACCAAGAACCCTGGTGGACCATGTGTTCAAACAATAATAATAATAATAATAATAATAATAAGTTGTTTTATATTTGTTATTTTATGTATTTGAGCACAAACATTGGTACAAGGGGGTACCAAATACATGTACACCACACAATAACAATTAGATTGAAGAAACAGAGAATGTTAATTACGTATAATAAAAAAAGGATAACGACAGAAATTAGTGTATGAGAGTGAAATAATAATGGGAGAAACAGTTCAGTTAGGAAAAATACAACCAGAAAGCAGTTGCGTTCATTTTTATGAAGAAAGTTACAGCGGGGCCGTCACTGTCTTCTATTCTGAGCCATGTCTGATAAAGTCTCCAACCACTATGTTGCACGATCTCTATGACGCCAACCATGGAGTCGTGAGGGACCAAGAGAAGCCAGTCCTGTACAACATTCTTCAATGCCACGACACCATGTCATACACTGACTATCTCGACGCTTTTTCCAACCGGCCCGAGCGTCGGCAAATAATTCACGATGTGGAGGAACAGGGTCCTGTCAGTTTTATGAAAGTACTTTGCACTTGGAAGGTACAAAGCACATGCCATACATACGGAAACTGATTGCCAACTGGCTGAGTGCGGATTGCATGGCTTGGGTATCATCGCACAGTAAGACAATATCATTCGCATACTCCATGTCGAAAAGTCTTTCTCCAGACGACAGATCCGCACCACCATTACCTACATCCACCAGAGCTGTTTTCAGAACGTCATTGATGGCGAAGTTGAGGAGGAATGGTGAGGTTGGGAAACCCTGCTCATCGATATCAGTAGCATACACCACAGCATCACTAATGCCAAGAAGCAGTACGGTAGTTGACCTGTGGTAAGTATGATGGTGTGGGTGGAGATATGATCAATACATCCTCGATCAGAACAAATGCCATCCTGCTCCTCGCGAGTCAATCTTTCTTGGGTTTTGAACAATCTACTAAATATGACGTAAGTCAATAGTTTGGACGCGATCGGAAGTAGACTTGTCCTCTTTTGGTTTTTGCAGAAACGATGTGAACCCTTTCTAAAGATAGGAACAACTATCGACTCATTGCATGATGTTGAAAAACCCTCTAATTGCCAGACCTTTGTAAACAATTCAGTCATTTTCTTAACCAGAAGGTCGCCACGATCCTTAAAATGGGCCGGAGCAAGTCATATGGGCCTGTTGATTTGTAGTGCTTCAAGAGTTGAACCATTACACCTAGCATCACTCCATCGACTTATACTTTCTACTTATCATGGTTAGTAATTATTTTGTCTATTTGGTTGTTATCCCATGCAATTGATCTAATTCTTTACGTAATCTACGTCAACTGTATCCCATTGTACCATACCTCAATCTTACCTTTTAATCCATATATGGTTGCAAGCAGCTGATAAGAAACCACGAAATAATAGTGAATTCATATTATTCTACCTCAACTGTTTTGATAGTTATCACTGACTCGTAAATTGCACCTAGTTTAATAAAATCAAATGTCTAAAAACAAAAGATATAAATAATTTACTGTTTTATAATTCTTCCCTCTTAAAATGTAATATGTAATAGATGCGTTTGCCTGTGCTTCACTGGACTCAAAAAAGCTACATTAAAAAGACCCTTTAGAGTTGGACTCAGTAATGAGAAAGGCAAGACAAGTTCCAAGAGAAAACGAAGTCATACTTAGGCAATTTTGAAAAAGGGGCTGATCCAAATATTGCTTAGGAAGGTATACGATCAGCTGTGGAAACAGCAGCAACATCTATTAGTGAATTGAACCAAAGGGTTACGAAAAACCAGTGAATTTCTGCACTGATGGACTCTCGCAAACTTACCACATCAGGCTCCGAACACCATGAAGAAAGAAAACAAATCATTCAAGGTTGACCAATAGTCTACAGAACGATCGCGAGCAGTGATGGGCAACGGAAGCAAAAAGATGAAGGAGGAATTGACTGCAGGTAACACAAGACAACTTTTCAGAATAATAAAAGAAACCGGGATCAAAAGTCTAGTGTAAGTGAGACAATCTCGGAAAAAGACGGCAACCATATATGCCCTCGGTCTAAATGTTTAGAACAATGGCCAGAATACCTTAAGGAGCAGCTCAACTGGCCTTCAACTACTTACTCTATAGCTACCCATCATTTCCAAACAGTGTGAATGGAATATTGAAGTAGGCTCCTCGACTCTGATTGAAATTCGAAATGCTATAGATAATCTGAAATAAGGAACAGGAACTGATTTAAATGGATTAACTTCAAAGGTCTTTAAGGATGGTGGTTCAGTTTTAAAGAATGGGTAACTAATAGTTTAGCCAAAATCTGGGAACTGACCGTAATCTCATCTGACTGGTCGCAATCACTGGTCGTCCCAATATATAAAAAATGATCAAAATCATCCTGTGACAACCATAGAGGGATTAGTTTGACTAATATGGTGTCTAAAATACTGGTCTCCATAATTATCGGGCGCCTAACAAAGACTCGTGAACTTCAAATACGAGGAAACCAAATTGGCTTTAGACCTGGTTGTAGCTGCATCGACCACTTATTCACCATTCGTCAGGTTTTAGAACACAGGCATGCTTATTGGTGTCTGACAATTATGGTTTTCCTTGACTTAAAAGTAGCATTTGACTCGGTAGACCGCGAGATTCTGTGGCAGTTTGTCTTTGTAAGGTGTACTTCGGAAATACATAAACCTTGTGAGGGCTCTTTGCTCTAATGCTACTAGTCGAGTGAAAAATTATGGTGAACTGTCTTCTGATCTTACAACTTCAGAAAGCTCGACTGGCTTTTGCCAACTTACGTCACTTATGGCGAAGGCGAGATATCTGTCTATAAATATTAACGACGGGTATACTGCGCACCAGTTCGTTCTGTTTTACTTTAGGGCTGGAAAACGTGGCGAATTAAGTGTAGAGGATACTCGTAAGTTACTAGTATTTGATCTCAGATGTCTTTGAAATATTGCTCACATGTTCTGGAATCACTGGCTAATTAATAATGAGTTAAGGATCAGGGTATTAGAGAATGATGGTAAATCAGTTGATGAGGTTGTGTATCTACATCGACTGAAATGTTTGGGCCATGTATTAGACATGCCCAACCACCTACAACCACGACGCGTAATGCTGACTGGTGTTGAAGTAGCCAAACCGAAACATGTTATCAGTTGATAAAGTCACTAACTTCTAGTCTGAGCCATGTCAGTCAGTCAGCTACAACATAGGACCAGGCACATATATGCATCGGTCCAAGTTGTCATACCTCATTAACACAACAAGATGAACACCGGATTCATAAAAGTAGTTAATTCAGAGGTGGCAGTATATAAAAGAAAGCTTGCAATAAGGAGATAGTACAGGAAGAAAGAATTAGTTCGTAGAAAGAAAGGTATGAAGCGATTTTAATCTCTTAGTTTAAGGGAAGACAGAGAGTGTATACACCGACGCCATTGTGATCGATTCTGAGCCATGTCACCAAGAGTTTCCAACCATTGGTTACGATAGTCACGCGGACCCCAACCAAGTAGTCTGCATCTTCCAACGTGGCTCAGACTAAAGGTTAGTGACTTAAAGCACTGATGCCACGTTTTGGTTTGGCCGCTTCTAACTTTCTTCCAACGATCCCCAACACTAGTCAGCATTGGGCGTCGTGGTAATCGGTGTTCAGGCATACGTAACACGTGGCCCAATCATCTCAGCCGATGTAGATACACAACCTCATCAACTGATTTACCATCATTCCCTAATACCCTACGTCTAACCTCACTATTACTTACCCGGTGATCCCAGAAGACGCCAGCAATATTTATAAGGTATCTGTGGTCAGATACTTGTAGCTTACGAGTGTCTTCTACTCTTAATGGCTATGTTTCGCTACCGTTAATTAAAACAGAACGGATTGCCGCGCAGTATACTCGTCCTTTTATTGATAGACGGATGTCTCGCCTTCACCATAGGTGACATGAGTTGGCAAAAGCCAAACGGGGTTTTCGAATCCGTGCTGAGATTTCGTCGGACACGAACCCATTAGGGTTGATCAGACTTCCAAGATAAGCGAAGTTGTCGACGCGTTCGACTACTTCACTCCCTATCCTTAGTTCAGATGTTGACGCAGACCAGTCCTGAAGCAGCAGCTTGCATTTAGAGGGAGAGAAGTGCATTCCAAACATTCTGGCACTGTTGCTTAGTGCTACCAAAAGACTCTGCATTTCATCAGCGTCTTCACCAAACAGGACTATATCATCTGCGTATTCCAAGTCGATAAGTGGACCTCCTGGAAGGAGATCAATACCCGAAAATTCAGTAAACGAGAATATTATTTCCATCAGTAGGTCTATGATGAAGTTAAACAAAAATGAAGAAAGTGGACAGCCTTGACGGACACCACTTGAGGTTGCAAAAGCAGATGACAGTTCGCCATAAGCTCTGACTCGACTAGTAGTGTTCGAGTAAAGAGTCTTCACAAGGTTTATGTACTTCTGAGGTACGCCTTTCAATAACAGACACTACCACAGAAACTCGTGGTCTACCGAGTCAAATGCTACTTTTAAGTCAAGAAAGTCCACCATTGTTGGACGCCGATAAGTATGCCTATGTTCTAGAACCTGACGAATGGTGAATATGTGGTCGATGCAGCCACGACCAGGTCTGAAGCCAGCTTGGTTCTCTCGTGTTTGTAGTTCACGAGTCTTAGTTAGGCGTCTGATAATTATCGAGGCTAGTATTTTAGATACTATATTAGTTAAACTAATCCCTCTATGCTTGTCACAAAATGATTTTAACCCCCTCTTATATATTGGGACGACCAGTGATTGTGACCAGTCAGATGGAATAACGTCTAACTCCCAGATCTTAGCTGAAATTTTAGTCAACCTAATCTTTAAAACTGAACCACCATCCTTAAAGACCTCTGAAGCCAATGCATCTGGATCAGCTCCCCTTCCTCGTTTCAGATTAGCTATAACCTTTTGAACTTCATCTAGAGTCGGGGGACCTACTTCAATGGTCTATTCACACTGTCTGGGAATGGGGGGTAGTTGTAGAGTAGCTGAAAGCCAGCTGAACTGTTCTCTGAAATGTTCCGCCCATCGTTCTAAACGTCTGGACTGAGAGCGGATGAGGGTGTCGTCTTTTTCCGAAATAGTCTGACTTACACTTGACTTATTAATTTCAGTTTCTTTTATTAGTCTGTAGAGCTGTCTTGTGCTCCCTATAGCCTCCGCCTTTTCCATCTCTTTTGCTTTCGCTGCCCACCACTGCTCACGGTCGTTCCTTAGACTTTTGGTTAATCTAGATCTGATTTGTTTTCGCTCGTCATCGTGTTCAGAGCCTGATGGGATTAGTTTACGAGAATTCATCAGTGCAGTAGACGTTGAGCCATGTTGTTAGATGCAGACTACATTTTTGCATTCCGTGCGACTATCGTAACGAGTGGTTTGAGACTGGGTGACGTGGCTCAGAATCGATCACAATGACGTAAGTGTATACGCTCTTTGTCTTCCCTTAAACCATGAGAATAAAATGACTTTATACATACTCTCTACGAACCAATCCTTTCTCCCTGTATCATTTCCTCATATGCAATATTTAGTTATGTATTACTACCACTGAAGTGAGTACTTCTATGGATTTCCTCATCTTCTTTTACTGTTGAAATATGGCAACTTGGACCAATTCATTTATGTAACTGATTCTATATTTTAGGTATCTGACGGACTGATTTGAATGAATTCGTTCAAATGTAAAAGTTAGATTACATCCGTTACTGTATATCATTTACAAAATCATTTTCGAACATTATTATAGCCTAATGTTATTTAAAGATAACCATTTAGTCTATATTTCTTAGTTGTCTAGATAAATTTGTGAATAATTTCAGAGGTTAACTAACTGAATAAAAACCTTTGATCATGGAAATAATCCTAAGCTATTTATTTAGAAAAAATCTCCGACCATCATAAAGCCAGATGATTTCAGATATAGGTATTGCGAAATTTAGTGTCTGCTGTTATTGTTAATTGGCAATACGACAACTAGTCAGCTTAGATCATATACTTCACTGCGCGTCGACGATCTTCCAAATATATAATCGAACTACTTCTTTGCTGAATTCTGCGTTGACTGGTTTTGGAATTCTCAGTTAGAAATTTGTTAGTGACGGCAATATTGTTAAGAGGTGATATCTGTAACATCTTTAAGTCCTTACTCATCATATACAATATTTTGGTGCCATTCTCATTATTATAAGTGAATTTTCTGTCGAATTTTTGTTCATTAATTGTAATTTATTTTTAGTAAATTAGTGAAATATTTAATAAACAGCTATATTTCCATCAATTGTACATCGAAAATCTGTCTAGATTCTTTAAATTCGTACTTTAATAATATGTTAAACTGAATTCATACAATATTTTATTTTTTCCTATTAAATTTTTTTAGGAAGAATGTTGGTTTGGCTTCTACTTGTAATAAAGTTGGACAGAGCCTTGGTTATGCGTTATCATTTATTCCCTTAGTTTGCTTAGAGTCTCCTGATATTCCTAACAGATATCTTAGACGAACGCCTATAGCAGACAAAGGATTAATAACATTTTCCGGTCTGTATATATTGTACAAAAATATCATGAATTAGCTTTGCAAATTTTATTATTATTGTATAATTTATCGATGTGATTTAATCAAATGTTTAGAGGGTTTATTGAACTTTCTTAGTATATCAGTGATATCAATGTGAAAGTCAGAATCATTCTTATGATAATCATTGTTAGGGCGATCTTGATAAGATGTCATAAAGTTGTTTGAGATACAAGATTATCAGTCATAGGGTTTATATAATCATGGTCATTCTAATGTGATTATATGGCAGTTTTGATAGATACTTGTGCGTGATAGATTTATTTTTATCGTATCAATCAAGTGTGAACTTGATATTTTGTTGTTGAGCGCTGTAAAGAAATGGTTTTTCTTTTCTTACGTATTGCTAATTATTTGATATCTTTTTGCTTTTAAACAGGTTTTCTCTATGCATGGGGTTTTGGTTTCATGATATTTAACACAGTTTTGGTAATATTTAAACATGAAAAAGGCTCGAAATTGGATGGGATTATACGTCACTTCGTAAAAAGTCGTTTATTCAGTAAATCGAAATACTCGACGCACTCGTTGAACAGTGAACAGACGGCAAATAAAAACGAACAAACGGACGGAAGTGAAAAAGTCTCATTGCTTAATACATATAAGACTATTATTGGTGTTATCCAACTGAAACCTGTCGCGTTGTATTTGATATTGATAGTTTCAGCAAAGGCAAGTAAGGCAGTTATATTAATTATCCATGTTAATTGATTTTTTTGTGTACGTGATACCGTATGATTGTTTAAGAAAGGATTCTATATTTTCTTCCTGTTTTAAATTATTACTGGCGAAGTTAAAGTATTTTAATCCGAATTTGTTCTCAGTGGGTAATATACAGAACTATATTTATATATTCGATGGGCATTGGTTGGTCGGCAACCTAAGCTTTCATAGTCCTTTATTGTGTATTATTCAGTTTGTTGCATAATTTTCGGATATGTATACTGTACAAAACGGAAGCTTATAATGTTGATATTGATGAACCAAACCTTCGATTTTTAGAGAAATTTATGCAAATTAGCTCACTATATTATTCACCAATTCAGTTGAAGGTTTTCTCCAACATTTTAGTCATTAAACCGAATCAGTTTGATCGTGAACATTCACGTTCATTTTGAACATATATTGTTGTATTTTTAATCTGACATAACTAGTGTTCATATTTGACCACTTCAGTATACATTTCAAACTTTTGTATACTAATTTTCAGTTATTTTTTTGGCAACATATTTCAGTTTGTTTTACAACTTCTTTGAATTGTTGTTTGGTTATGGATCAAATATTGTTTTGTTTATCTGAAATTCTATACTTCCTTAAAAATTGCGGACAGTTTCTTTGTAATTTATATCTTTTTAGTTTGGTACATCAATTTTCTCGTGAGGTCTTTAGCTCACATATCAAATCTAGGATTCTTAAATCCCTGAATAAAAGGCGTTGAAGCAATGGGAAATATGTGTTCACTTTCAATTTTCTTTTCTGAACACAGAAATGGAGGTTTGCTTTTTAGGAAAAAATATGGATCGTGATAGTATCCTTAGTTAGACAACAGTTAAATAAAAGACAATATTTTTCTTTATCATTCGAACAAGACTTTGATTAAATATACTGTTTTTATTTTGGGTGCATGGACGATCTTAATTCATCAAGTGAATTATGCTTACTGAAACTAAATTGACAATGTTTTCAATTTCCAATATTTTCAATATGATTGTATTGAATACAACCCTTAAAACGTTCCTGGTACACTATATTTTAACCGATTCTTCCCAGTTTTTAAGGTTATAAATGCACCATCGATTAATGATGTACTGAAGTAATGTAAATAGTGAAACTGATGATTTGCTCAAATAACCAGTCTTTACAAACTTAATCAGTAGAATTCAGACGTACAAATCATTGACAGACTGAATTAACGTATTATCAAACTTGAGTTTGTCATGGATATAAAGAATATTCAACTAAGATGGGACTGTATCAGGTCATAAATGATTGATCAAGAATAACATTGAAGGTTGTAAAACATCCATTGACCATTCATTTCTCTGTTTAATTGTACTTTGTTGGTTTTTCTAATCTTTTGTTTTACTAAAAATTATTTTGGTTTTCAAAAATGTATGAAGTATATTTTCCGATGTTTATTTACTGTGTGAAGTATATTCTAGTTTCCCTATAATTGTGGCTGTCTATTCAATAACTATGAATTCAATGATACCTAATTTAATACAAGCTTCGCACAATTTCATTCAATTATGAAACGATCATTCGTTTTCAAAATGAGTGTTGACCATAATTGGTAGATGTTTTCAAGTTTTAACGTTGATACTGTAGAGTTCTTAGTGAATGATAGTTTAGACTTGTGAAACGTACGTGTAAAATATAATGTTTACTGATAATGTGATGGTCTCAGATTAGAAATCCACAAATACTTATTGGTAATGTTAAAGTTATACATGATTACTTTTGGCTTTGATATCTAATAAAATTAATGTTCTCCTCAGATTGTTGAGCAACCCAGTTTATAAGAGTCAAATTATAATAAATGAGGGATTTTAATGCTAGTATCTACATTAGCCGATTAACTTACGATACTACGTTTTACATGGGGTTTCTTTGAATTAGTTATTGGTAGAAATGAAATAAAACTTTTTTCGACTTTACAGATTTTGGTTAATGATGCTTCTTTCCCTAATATGCATGTAATTTGAAACAATTATAAGTCAGTCAGACGATCATATGCAACACAAAACCTGACACATGTGTAATAATTCAAGTTGCCACAACACTTTAGCACAATTGTTTCAAGACAAATCCTACGTTGCTAAAAGTAGTAACAGGATCAGTAGCAGTAGAACAGATTAACTATGGAAGGAAAGAGAGAAGACTTAGTATGAAATTTTGGAACTCAGAGAATAAGGGGACATAAAGAATGAACTCACCTGAGCCATGTTATCCAAAGTCGCTCACCGCTGGTTAACGGTGGTTGGGTGGACCCAATCAAGTAATCTACATCAAGCTTTATGTCTCAGTCCAATAATTAGTATATTTATAGACTGATAGTACGTCTTGATTTGATCACTCCTAGATTTTTAACAGCCTGCTCCTACGCCAGCCATAGTCGGGAGTCTAGGTAGGCGGTGTTTGTGTTTACCTAATACATTTCTCAATCACCTCTGTTAATGAAGATTTTCTACCTCATCAGTCGATTTCCCATCTTTACCTAATATTTTATGCCCAACCAGCCAACTGAAATCTCATCAAACATCAACCAACCAGGGATGATAAGAGCTCCAAGATTAGTTAAGTGGTTGACTCGCTTAACTACCTCACTGACTATCATTAAGCTAGACGTTGACGCAGACCAGTCTTGGAGCAACATTCCGCATTTAGAGAGGGGGAATCACATCCAAAAATTGTTGCATCGTTCCTTAAGGTTGTTAGAAGACTCTTTATTTTGACGGCGTTTTCACCGAAAAAAGTATACTATCTGCTTATTCCAAGTCAACAAGTGAGTTTCCTGGTGAAACACCAGCTACTGAGAATTCAGGCTACGAGAGAGCTATTTCTAAAAAAAATCACATATGATGAAGTTAAACAAAAATAGAGTATGTGGATAGCCTTGATGAATACCATTTAAGGTTAACAATCCCAATAACAATTCTCCATAAGCTCTAACTCGATCAGTGGAGCTCAATTATTTCTTTTTGATAAACTTACCTATTTAATTGTGTTATTTTTTTCCCATCATTATTGTTATAATTATTATTACTATTATTAGGTATGTGCTTTTGGTACATATACAGCTACAAATTTAAAGCTAATCGAACAGGGCTTTGCTAAAGAGAAACTGGCATTATTAAACCTTGGATTTTTGCCAATGGAATTTATTTTACCCTTGTTATTTGTACGTTTTACTACTGGACTGAAACCATTGACTACTGGTCTAATGATATTTTTACCAAGGTAATTATTTTTGCTAATCGATATGGTTTTACTGATGTAATCACTTTGTATTTTCATCACCATTAATGCAATCTGTTATTTTTTGTGGTCATTCTAGCCTGCTACTGATATGCTAGTTTCTTATACGGGAACACAGCCATCTACTTGAGTGAGAAAAGCAAGAGTGAGTACGGAACATGTTATGGATTATGGCGTGCTGTCTAAATTCACGTAAGAAAACACCAGTCATAATCCGTTCAGCACTAATGATCTTGAATCGACGCTAAGTTGTTATTGATTCACGATATATATAATCTGATTACTTAGTAATTCTACAATATGAGTACATATATAATAATATTCCATAAATTAGTTCTGGAAGATAACATTATTTCCGTTTTCGTTCGGATAGGACAGAACGTTTATTGGCTAAATCGATTCGAAAATACGTTCATGACTCACTTATAAACATACATCTTCCCCAATAAATCAAACCACATTTTCAACCAATAGCGTGTCACTGTACTCAGAAAGTTCAACCAACTTTTGGCCATAGTGTGCACTTGTCAACATCTATTTATCATTTGGTTTATATCTTATTGGTTTAGACTATTACAATCTAAGCAGAAATTTTGTAGTTATAAATGATTCGGCAAAGTTTAGCTTATTAAATTCACTTGGTATTGTTTACTTGAATCTTCCCATTGATGTTTAGGACTACAATTAATCAGTCTCTATTGGTATATGTGCATACTGTGCGTATTGCCTCAATATTGCCTTAATTCACAAGCATTATAAGCAAAGATAGATTGTGGTTAGCAGGGGAATCCAAGACGCGCGTTTCACCCTATTTGGGACTCGTCAGCTGGATGTACCGGCATCTCGGAGTTGATGTTCACTCTGGGACTCGAACCCAGCAACGTTCGCTTCAAATGCTATCGCGTTATCCACTTAGCTACTGAGTCCTGATAGTCACTTGTTGGTGCAAAAGCTAACTTATTTACTTGTAGAAAATTTTATGTCATTAAAATTCTAATTTTAACAACTTTGCAGAAGTGTTCACATTACTTTATTATCGTGTTATTACTGTTCAAGTTTCTGTGTTTGTTACTTTGAAAATGATCCAGGTTACTGACAAATTGTTTATTTATTCCAATTATTCATTTCATACCGCATTTTCGAATGATTTCAAATGATACCTTAATGATGAATAATTCGAATATGACAACATTAAATAATTACACAACTAATAATATTAATAATCATACAATTATTTTAATGAAAGATAAACCAACTTATTCATTTCCATTGATATTCTATGCAATATTAATAAGTGGCTTCCTTTTGGATAAAATTACAGCAACAGTTATATTTGTACAATTTCAAGCGTTTAATGCCAAAATAAGTGATCCGATTATTGGAGGAACCTATATGACATTATTGAATACTGTATCAAATCTTGGTATGAGATATGCTCTTTTTGTGCTGTTTGCTATTTTGTCTATTTAAATTATCTGTTTGTGTTATTTTTTTCGCTAATGCTGCTAATATGGTTATCATGATGAAGAAATGAAATGATCATTCACTAACGTTCATTGTCCAACTTTGATTTAAGAGTCATTTGATATTACCACAATATATGAGTCAGTATAATCAAATAAAAAAATCACGTTCATACGGTCAATATGAGTTAACCATAATGATCACTTCGTTATGTTCACTTATGTGTCATTTAATGTCGAAATGTACATCATTCATTTTTCTTAATCGAGTAAAATTTCTTGAAAATATAAAGTTATCTTTAGAAGTTCATTTAAATTACCAAGTTCCCTTGTGTGACACGTTTCTAAACGTGTCTAGATAGGTATGAAATATATATTTATATTGTTAATCATTGAGCTTCAAATAGTCAACTATTTAATATACCCAGTATTCATCTGAGAATTTTATCCTTAAAGTGAAACAACACTTTATCATGTTTAAAACTTGATACTAAATGAATCCCAGTATTGTAGAGTGTAATAACTGCTACAATTGATCAGTTCAAATGTAAACATTAATGACAACTGTAAATTTGAGATGGATGCACTAGTGTTGACTAAAAGTATTGCTAGTCATTCAAGTTTGATATTTGTTACACAGGGATCTTTGTCTTTATCTTGTTAAGTACATTATAAGAATTTATGGTTGGCTTTATCAGTGAAATGTTCATCAGGCTCTCCATTTGATTTGTAATTGTAGACTAAAACGTAATTATTTGAACCAAAAGACATTTTATTATGATTTTCTGTTTTATTTTCATGTATAAGTTTGTACTTGGTTAATTTTTTCCACAAGTAAAATGTAGTTGTGGATACTTCCACTCACTTTCATAACTTATACCAGAATAGGTATAGGAGTTTCCAATAATTCTATGTAAACGTTTTCAGAGGTTAGGGAGATGTTGAGAAGTTCTTCGACTAGGTAGGATTTTTGAGATATTTGCAAGAGAATGTTAAACAACGACGAATTATTTTTTTTGCTGTCCGATTGAACAATTATCGACTTTGTTACCAAATTTAAGACGATTTCTATTACCTTTTAGGAACTCAAGGTCACATGTAATTCTGTAAACTTTTTTTAAAATATATAAACTGACCTTATAAATAAACCTTGAATATTCCCTACTTCTTGTTTTTGTGTTCGGTGCCCAGTGATAGAAGATTTCTAATTCTTAGGATGCCGCTGGTGAGTTGATGTTCGAGCGTTAGAACACAAAATATACCAACAGCTAAATTTAAAAGAAAGCAATATCGTCTTAATGCCTAATCTGGATTAACCAATGTGGTGTTTCATCTTACAATCTGATACTTGGAAGTAATATACTTTAACCACCTTACCATCTCTCTTACGATATGTATATGAATGCAGAGACATGTTTGCACCAATGTGACTCATTAATCTAGTGTACAGACAATCCATCTCAATTAAATATTTGTATAGTGAATTTATTTAAAGTAGCTATAAAGTTGTATAAATTGAGTTCAAGAATAATAGTTTGCTTATTTTGAATGTTAACTGATCTGATCGTTTCATATTGGTTATTTTTTATTTGTTCCAAATAGCTGGTGCTTTAGGAACTACTGTCTCTCTCGCTCTAATAGAGCGTTTGACAATTCATTCATGTACGAAAAATGCCAGTCATTCTGGAATACATACAAACACTAGTGGGGTATTTTTAAATAGTTCATTGGCTACTGAAAATACCACTTGCTATGCTTTAGATGGAAATAACGTATGTGAATACAATTTACATGCTATAGTTTGTACAATATTTTCAGTGTATGTTCATTTTTCAATGATAACACAGTTTGTTGTAATGCTATCTACTAATAACTAGTAGGATTCCTGACAAAAGAAATGGACTTGATAATATTTTAGTATTTTAAGCAGAGATGAATGTTGGATAACTGTGGGATCCAGAACGCGTGATTCGTCCTATTCAAGACTCATCAACTGTATGCACTTGTACTGGATCATATAATTTAAATGATGACAATATACGGGTATGCGTACCTAAAGGAAGCGTCCAAAAACAAAGTTAATAATTGATTATTTTGGTAATCGAGTAACATAATTAAATTGTTTTTGTCTGTACAACTGAAGGTGTTATTAGGGTTAATTAAAGTGATATTGAAGACTATTATAATTAAAAAACAAAAGAGTTACGAAATATAGATTAGAAGAGGAGAGTATCTTCGGTTACAAAAGTATATGAAATGAAAATACTAATAATACAAGGCGAAGACGAAGCCTATTTCTTTTGTGTAGAAAAATCCATAGCTAGCAATCACTTTTACCTAGTGGACGAGAATATTCACCAACCTGGTTCTAAAACAGTGGAAAGATAGTGGTTAAGGTTTCCGTTTTTGATCATTTAATTGTCTGGAATTACCGAACTTACCCTTAACCCTGAAATGAACATACTGGCACTGTAGTTTGTGGACGAAATAATGGAACATCTCTTGTTTTTTGAGCGAAATTCATATATAAGTATGGCTACGGAGCATGTTTACATTATAGGTGATGTCAATTCGTAATGAGAACACTAATCTTTAACCCTTGAGTGATCAGTCCGAACTAGGACTCGGAAAAACCTCTTTTAATTCTTTTACAGGTTCGAAAAGATGGAAAATCTGTATCTGTATTACAAGTTCATATATCGTTATTGTTTTGGTGTACAGTCAGAGTAGTCTATAGAAGATAATTATAGGTTTACTAATTGTGTAAAATTAGTTTACACTTTACAATATTATTGTTTTCTTTCCCATAAAATGCCCATTTATAAAAGATGTTTTATTGCAAACTTGCTGGGAATTCGTAACAGTTATTACTATAATATTGACTAACTTAGGTCATTAAGTTCAACAAACATAAAAAGTAATCATGAAGATAGATGTGTTTTGTTAAGCTTTTCTAGTTCAATGTAACACTCACAAACAAAATGATAGTTTTTTAAAATTAAAGTATTCACTTCTTTGTCCAGATAACGTCACTAAAATTTTGTCTTGAAACTCAACACATTAGTTCTTACATTTCGTCACTTTTTATTTAACAGGAAAGCAACAGTTTTCGGTAACTGTATGTATACCAAATTGTTGAGAATCATGATATTTACATGCATACGATATTTTCTTTCATTATATTCACCTAATTACTTCACTATTCTTTTTCTTGTTATGTTTGCACGATTTTAATTATTACAGGAAATTGATTATAAATAGATAGATAAATGTCTATAAACTCAGTGTAAAATATCAACTTTAATTTACTTTTCTTTTTCTTTTCAATTCAAAATAGACATGTATTAATCCAATAGAATCATGCGTTAAAGTATTCGATGGATACTATATTGAAGTGATAGCTCTTCTCTTCGTTGGTTCAATATTATTTGTATTGTTCTTTTATCCAAAAGCAAAATATTTGCAAAGTTTACCAGCAACGAAATTTTATTACAATCCAACTACTGATGAATACAGCTGTTTTGGTCGTAAATTTAACTGTTGTCGTAAAACGGAAAATCAGTCTTTAACTATAGTTGATTATTTTGAAAGTATGGAAAACAATACTGATACTACTAGTACTGCTGCTGTTGCTACTACTACTACTACTACTACTACTACTACTACTACTAATAATAATAATAATAATGATAATAATGGTGAAATCAAATTACTACTGAACAATTAATATATATATATATATATGGCCACTGATTATTTTTTTATTCATTTATTACCAAGATGGATATTTTCATAATTATGGTGAATTTTTATATTCGGTTACTAATATTTTCTACTTACAAAGAACAATTTGAAAATTTTATCCTTTTTTTAAATTATTTGTGGAAAAAAATTAATTTAAAGCTACTTTTCTTCTTTCTTTAAAGAAAAAACAGAACTGTCATTTATTTTGTGTCGCAGATATTCTAACTTTGTAAACTAATGTGTAACCTTGTTTACTTATATTTTCATTATGCATAAATGATTCGTGAAAAATATTATCCTATTAGTAATGAATGATGATAACCGTTACTTAATGAAGAAAAGGAGATGAAGTATGTTTAGTGTTATGTTCTCACTGTTTTTTTGTTTATTGTTTTTTGTTGTATTCGAAATGTTTTATTTCTATTCAGTTGGTTGGATATATGAGATCACGAAATCAATAACTGTCATATGTTTTTATATGTAAATGGAAGAAACAACGATCCACAGAGAGAGAGAGAATGAGAGTGAGTAGTGATATACAACGTAACTTTTGATTTCTAAATTTGCAGGGCAATATGATTGTTATTTTTATAATGATTTTGTACTTATCTACAGTCAGTTTGTATATAACGAACGATATATAAAGTTGAGTTAAATAAATTTGAATGAATGAATCTGCAATCTTCTAATTGGTGGATGTGTTTAAATGTTCCGTTGATGAAGCGTTTTATACAATAAATACCGTCTTCCAAATTTAAAATTTTAATTGTTCGACAAACTGTCTGCAATTTTCAGTTGAAAATAAATTTCTTACGTTTTGGAAAATAATTGTTTACCCAAAATTTACAATATATATATATATATATATATATATATATATATATATATTAAGATACTGAGAAAATGAATTTAAACTGTTTTACAAGCTGAATATTCACACTAATCGAGCAAGAATAAATTTCAATATGTACTATTGTTATCGATTATATTTTGAATACTGCGTAACAGTTAAAGCCAGAACGCTCATTTCATCATATATGGAACTCGTCGATTAGAAGTATTGACATTTCACTGTAGGTGTCAAAACTGAGATTTGGACTCAATGCTCATCGCTTCAAAACGAACGGATAGAACAAAATTTTTGTTGTTCCTGGCAATATTCTTAGGTTTTGTATTCCGTCTAAGTAACTATTGGACGAAAGCTTTCGAAACTCTTGTTTGGTCAAAGATGATGAACTTACAGAAAACACAAGAAAGCGTTTCCCATAGGTTTTGGACTGAACTGAACCTAGTGTAATTGGATTCGAAACCGTAAGTCGTAAATTGCTTTATCTGAAATGTGTGTTTGTCAGTAAAAATCGTGCCTCAAAAGAAATTACCAAAGGTTTGTGATGCTTACTCAAGTCGTACATTTCCTGCTCACCCATCGCATTAAAATTAATCAGAATATCAAATTCAAAGACATAATGGTATACCAATTGATGTTGCAGAAGCAGAAGAACATGAGATACCATATAATTATATAATTTGTGTCCATTCTGAACTGAAAAGATGCGATTTATCTGGAATGCAGTACTATCAAAGGGAACAATAAAATGGAACGAGGCTTTCAAACATTGAATAATAAGTTTCCCAGGTGTCGATAAGCTGTCAATAGCACAGTTAGAAGGGAAATGAATCCTTCAGACAAAAATAATAACTACGATACCTATAAAAAACAACATAAGACCGTCAAACATACCCACAATTAATAACATAAATCAAGCTCTATGAATTAAAAATTGCCGAGCTTCCCAGGTTAAGTTACGTTTCAATTAGTAGCATACCTCATACAGAATAATTAATAAGATAGGAAAAATGTAGCAATACAAGTAGGAAACGCGATTAAAATATCGAATATAAATGCGTATGATTCCCAAGTCTCGTAACGATTGATATTGATATAAGTTACGGAATAATAATATTATAGTGTGGTAAACCGGGGAAAAATGAAATTGATGCTGAACAGATACAACAATATATGCTTGTATGGACGAATAGAGTTGTCTAGGATAGAAGAAAACCACTAGCACTATCATATTATTAATTGATGGTATGTGTGTATAGTAGACAAAATAATGGTTAAACTAGAAGGATAATGAGGGTTATTTATGATAAATAATCGTATCCGGTCCTTTTTGGACTGAGAAATGTGTATGATGTAATTTTCTAACCGGATGAAAAATGTTTCTGGAAAATAAGAAGTTTTGTAAAATCGTAACATTAATTTTTTTTTGGTATCTAATTCAATGAACTCATATAATTTTGAGTTATAAACCACTACTTAATTGTGTTAACCATAAAATAGTTTGGTATGATTTTGTGCTTTATTTTCATGAATGACCGTGTACACGGTTAAGTTTTGCTCATAAGTTAAGCATACTTATAATACTTACTAAAGATCATTTTGTTGATTTAAACTTATCAATATAACTACGTGAAAGAATGCTGTCCTTTTTTTTATTTAACTGAAATTAAAATGATACTACAACTAAGTTTTGAGCTTTATAATGATCACTTTACGTAATGCTTGCTTCTTCATATTTAAATAGTTGGACATTTATACGGTCACATTTTAATGTATAATATCTCAGGTAGCTGCTATTGGTATTTTACAATATTTCGATACCTATTAAATTGCTCTCATCAGTCTAACTAAATAGTATCGTGTATAGAAGATACAATTGTTTAGTCTGTTATTATAATATTGTCCCAAGATTATTTAAATGAAGTAAATTATGTAAATTTTGGTTTTGAAATCAACAGTTTGCTCTCAAATTTAATCAGTTTGGTCGATTAGTATGAGCTAATGGTTGACATGAAGTTAGATCGTAAAAACCCCAGAAAAGTACTTGTATAATATTTGTATTGTACCATGTTAAATTGAAAACCAACCTACAATTGTTGAAGTTGATAATAATGCCGTTTTAGCGGCAAGAATCTTGTTCACTGATCTTAAAGAAATATATGGTAATCGTGCACCAGGTAATGCGATTAATTTACGACTAGTATTGATTTTGATCTCCCTATTGTAGCATATTCGGATAATTAAACCAGAGGACATTATTGAGATAACCGTTGGAAGACATACACTGAGAGTAAACCAAATGTACATTAAATTTTCATTATAAAAATACTGGGTGCAGATTTCTCCCGAGAATTTTAGGAACGCGTTGTTTGCTAATAAAGTTATGGAAAATATAAATATGGCTTGAATAACTGTAGTCATCTTCATGTTCACAATCCGTATGTAAGTTCGGCCGACTAGAATGAGAGAGTCTATCAAAGCATAGTAGAGCAAAAGCCCAAGTTGAAATGTCTGATGAAATACTATGCAAAAATGTGTGTAAGCGGCAGAACGTTTCTCCGTACTTAACATGAAGATCAACTCCATATAATGACAGGTATGTAATTCTAACGGCATGTGTGAGGTGAATAATGAAACCGGTCATAACGATTACAAATATTTGAACCTTTGCTGAGAATCTAAGAGGACATTTCGGCCAATCCAGCCATAATTTTCGCGGGCAAACATTTTTATGGTTTTGATAATTTGACTTTCTTAAATGCCAACCAAACAAGTAAGCTATCCATGCGGAACCAATGAACAAATAAGAGCCGAATTCCGTCGGAAGTTACGAGGCCGATGCCCCTTCTGACAACCAGAGCGACCGGTGAGACACCGGGAGAGCCTTCCAAATTGCTGCAGAAATGAGGAGATACAACCTAGAGGTGTTGGGATCAGTGAAACACATTGGATGCAAGTTGGACAAAAACGACTAGCTTCAGGAGAGCTTCTGTTATACTCCGGCCATGAAGAAGAAAATGCTCCACATACACAAGGAGTTGCATTGACGCTGTCCAAACAAGCACACAAAAGGCACTTATAGGATGGGAATCTCATGGACCAAGGATCATCAAAGCCTCCTTCAAAACAAAGAAAGAGGGCATTTCAATGAGCATCATCCAATGCTATGCGCCTACCAACGATTTCAATGAAGACGCTAGTGATCAATTCTACAATAGGCTGCAGTCAATCATCGAGAAGTGCCCAACAAAGGACCTGACCATTCTGATGGGAGATTTCAATGCCAAGGTTGGAACGGACAACACTGGATATGAAGACATCATGGGACGACACGGACTGGGAGAAAGGAACGAAAATGGTGAGAGATTTGCAAACCTATGTGCCTTCAATAAACTGGTCATAGGCGGAACTGTATTCCCACATAAACGCATACACAAAACCATATGGACTTCACCGGATCACACCACGCAAAACCAAATCGACCATATTTGCATCAACAAAACGTTCAGGAGGACTATAGAGGAAGTGAGAACCAAGAGAGGAGCTGATATAGCATCAGATCATCACTTGCTGGTCGCCAAGGTGAAATCGAAACTCAAGAAGCACTGGACAATGGGGTGGACAATATCACAAAAGTTCAATATGGCCCTTCTTCAGGATACTACCAAACTCAACAAATTCAAGATAGTCCTCAGCAAAAAGTTCCAGGCCTTTCATGATCTACTCAATGGAGAAGGAACTACTGTGGAGAGAAACTGGAAGGGGATCAAAGAGGCAATCACTTCAACATGTCATGAGGTCCTGGGTCACAAGAAGCACCACCACAAGGAATGGATCACTGTTGATACACTAGATAGGATTCAAGAAAGGAGGAACAAGAAAGCAGCAGTCAATACCAGCAGAACAAGAGCAGAAAAAGCCAAGTTACAAGCTGAATACACAGAAGTAAACAAACAAGTGAAGAGGAGCATTAGAACCGACAAAAGTAAATATGTGGAAGATTTAGCAACGACGGTGGAAACGGCTGCAAGAGAAGGAAACATGAGACAGCTATATGACACGACAAAGAAACTCTCTGGAAATCGCCGCAAACCAGAACAACCAGTGAAAAGCAGGGAAGGCAAGGTAATCATCAACATTGAAGAGCAACAAAACAGGTGGGTAGAACACTTCAAAGAACTCTTGAATCGACCAGCTCCACTGAACCCACCCAACATCGAAGCAGCACCCACGGACCTCCTAATCAATGCTGGCCCACCAACAATTGAAGAAATCAGCATGGCCATCGGACAAATCAAGAGTGGCAAAGCAGCGGGACCAGACAACATTCCAGCAGAGGCACTAAAAGCAGATGTAGCGGTAACTGCAAGGATACTCCACATTCTCTTCAATAAGATTTGGGATGAGGAAGAAGTACCAAAAGACTGGAAAGAAGGACTTCTGATCAAAATACCGAAGAAAGGCGATCTCAGCAAGTGTGATAACTACAGGGGCACCACTCTTCTCTCAATACCGGGAAAAGTCTTCAACAGGGTATTGTTAAACAGGATGTTGGACTGCATAGACGCCCAACTTCGTGACCAACAGGCAGGATTCCGTAAGGATAGATCGTGTACAGACCAAATCGCAACTCTACGGATCATTGTGGAACAATCAATTGAATGGAATTCATCACTCTACATCAACTTCATTGACTACGAAAAGGCATTTGATAGCGTGGACAGAACAACACTATGGAAACTTCTTCGACACTACGGCGTGTCTCAGAAGATAGTCAATATCATACAGAGTTCATATGATGGATTACACTGCAAAATCGTGCATGGAGGACAGTTGACAAAGTCGTTCAAAGTGAAGACCGGTGTTAGGCAAGGTTGCTTACTCTCACCCTTTCTCTTTCTC